TTGAGTATCTGAAAGAAGGTGGTTCGTCTCAACCCATTTGTCGAGGCGAAAAAGGATCATTTTCTCCATCAATTTCCGAATACACGACAGCATCGCGATGGGCCGATACGAATTGTGATCCGACGCGGGTTTATCAGGCTTTTTAATGGCTATCACCCTTACTCGTCTCCAATCGTCGGGAACAATATTGAGCTCCAAGAACTGATTGTACAAGTTCAACATGCGCCTCTTAGCGACGTCTGGGAGGTTTTTCAGCAAGTTGAACTTGATTCTATCAGATCCCGGGGCAGAATTGCCACACGAAAGAAGAGCGAGTGAAAGTTCGACCATTGAAAAAGGCTGACTGATTTCGTCTACCGAATTCGCGGTTTCGCGAGGAATCAACTGCGACGGCACGGAATCCGGACACACTTTTCGCGCGAATTTAAGAATCCATTGATCCGAGCATTCCTCGCTTTCGTTGTTAGTAGACCGGTTACGCATTCTTCGCGCCGTACTCCAAAGCGTATTCATAGACGTTTCGCGCGACAATCCGTCTACAAACTGCCGCAAGTAACCCCGTTTTTTGGCCTTGAGTTCGCGTTCAAGAGATGTGTATGCGTCGAAATGCTCGCGTGTTCCGCGTTTCCGAAAAAGTTTAAACGCGTCGGACTTTTTACGGTAAACCTCCGTGCATTGTTGATCCCACCAGAGCGATGGTGTTTTCTTACGAATAGACGATCGCGGCACCGGTCGTGTTTGAGCTTGAAGTGCGCTGTCGACGATGAGATTAGAGAGGAAATTATATTCCTCCAACGGCGGAAGCTCTTCCACTGACGATACTGTATCGTCTATCGCGGATTGGAACTTAGTCCAATCGATGTTACGGGTTAGATCATACGCGACGTTAACGGATTCTGACGAGTTGAACCCACTGGCAATCGAAATTTTGATCGGCAGATGATCACTACCGTGCGGATCCTGGATTACATGCCAAGTGCAATCCAACGATAGTGAATTGGAGCAAAAGGTGAGGTCTAATCTGCTACCATTCGAGGATGGACCAGCCAAACGTGTTACTTCTCCATTGTTAAGGATTGTCATGTTGAAGTTGTCGCAGAGATCATAAATCAAAGTAGAACGGTTATCATCGTACAGCTCCCCCCAGCCTGTACCGTGGGAGTTAAAATCTCCCATGATCAACCATGGAGCGGGAAGTACCGCACATATGTCGAAAAGTTGTTTGCGATTAATAGAGACTCTAGGAGCAATATATACAGAAGCAATACAAAGGCTCTTACCTTTAATGGTAGCCTGACATGCGACAACTTCAATACCGGGGAATTCGGGAAGATTCACTCTATAGAAGGAAAAAAGTACCCCTCCTCCACGTGAATCCTCACGATCCAATCGAATAATGTTAAAATCAAAAAAAGGGAGATCAATTTCTGAAGAGAGCCATGTTTCACAGAGGGCAAATGCATCGCAATTATTGTTATGGACTAAATACTTGAACGAATCTAATTTCGGAATAAGACTTCGACAATTCCACTGTAGAACAGTGATCAAATCCCCGACCTCGTTTGGAAAATTATCCATCGAAGGAGATGATAGCTGCAAGAAGGGGCCATTTTGAAGTCAATTGCTTCAAGAAGGATTTCACAGTCGGAAGCAATGTGAGGACAATGCTTTTCAGAGGATCAGAAATGTTGAGGTATTTGAGAATACCGTCCACAATGTCATCAAATGAGAACAGCCCAGATGAAGAAGGGGTTTCTGTTCTTAAAATTGGGGCATCAGGGGTTTTGGATGTCCCCGGAAGAGGTGGAAAATCCTGGGTATAATCAGTTCTGCGGAATCCAGGAGGAGTAGAAGTCTCCTTTTTTCCACCACTCCTTGATTTGGGCAAGCTGATTTGGGGTTCTTGATCTGCAACTTTCCGCGAACGGATGCGTTTTCGTTTCCGGGCAGAACCTTCCGGAAAACTGAAAGAAACTCCCTCCTCAGCCAAGTCAGAGCCAGACTCGTCATCTGACAAAAGAGCGAAGGGATTTGTTTCGTTGGTCGATGGCTTGGCTGTCTTAAGCATTTCTGCAAAAGACCGCCTGGAACGTTCCTTAAGGGAGCGTTTCATTTTGTCCCCGAGCTGTTTGTACGCCGGGCACGACGAGAGAGCATGAGGAGGAGTTCCATTGCAGTACACGCATTTTGGTGCAGTAGCTGCGCAGGCGCCATCCTCATGCTTCTCCCCGCATGTGGAGCAGCGTGCCTTGTTGCCGCAGTGGGAGGCCGTGTGTCCCAACCGCTTACAATTCTGGCAGTTCATGACCCGAGGTACAAACAACCGCACAGGAAGACGAAGTTTTCCCAGCTCGATGTATTGAGGAAGGGCAGATCCAGAAAAGGTCACCCGAAACGAGTCTGTGGGGGTAAAACTCTTTTTACCCTCGCTGAGCGATACTGACTTCATTCTATGAACGGCCAGTATCTTTACCGGAGGAAGCAAGGGGTTCTTGAATCGGCCAACCGCTTGCTTCTCCAGTATCTCGGGGTTCAGGCTCGCCTCAGTGACCACGCCTTCGATCTCCACATCAGAGGCTGGAATGTACACCCTATATTCCAGTGTGAAAAACTGGGAAACAGCAATTTCATTGGCCTGTTTCAGGTTAGCGACAGTCACACGAAGTTTGTTGTGCCTAACCTTCGTTATTTCGGTCACGGCAGAGAATCGCTTTGTCAGATCATCAGATATCTGAACAACATTCAAGGGTTTGTTTTTGGGCTGAAAATAGACAACCCATGGGCCAGTCGAGTCATTCGGGTAGGCCCGCAATCTGGTGCTTTTCTCATCCTGCCCATTGACAGACTGAGACGACGAACCAGGGATGACATCATCATTATTCTGAGATGAATGGTCATCCATGTCGTCTTCTGACAAAACATCCATTTTGTTCAACTAGTGGGAGCGCAAAACGCTCTCCCACTGAACGCACAGACACAATACACAGAAAACACTACAAACACAGAAATACAAAATGAAAATTTAACTAATGGAGGAGGAAAAGAAACAAAAAAAAAACAAAAACTTATCTGATAATTCTATACTTCTACCACCGAGCGTTATATGTGTAGGCGTTTACACAGATGGCTGGAAGAGACGCGCTGCGTGGATGACCTTCGTTGTGGTGCACTTGATCGAGGCTCGGTACTCAGCGCACACAGGCGCACGATGATTGATGAACGATGTAGATGTAGAAACGGGTGCTCACACTCGATGATGATGATACGTAAGCGGGTATGCGTGAGCGCGTATGCGTGACCACGCAACGATGATGCCCAAATTGGTTTACGAATTACCAATAGCACGGATTAATCGTTCCGAAAATGACACTTTCTACTACAAAAAAACTCACTTTTCGATCAATTTACCGGGAACTATGCCAGGAGTCACTTAGTGAGAAAAAACTGATAATTTATATCAAGCGAATACCGAGAAAACTTCCAAAACAACGGAGCGCGAAACAAGTCGACCGTACTTCTTGCTAGGACGCAGTGAGATGAGTGCGTGAAAATGCATGAGAACCTCAAACGAGAATTTTGGTTTGTACATTTGAGCTCGGAGGGCTCAATGAATGAGATTTGAGAATGATTTTCCAATCACTGCTTAGCATAAATAAGACCCTAATTTTCCAAGGTTATATTGATCCACGGTTAAGTTCGAGTGGTTGGAAACGTAATTGTTCAACTGCTTGATTGATATGATTAATTCTCTTGGATGTTATGTTAGAATGCCTTTGGAGATTTTGTCAGTATTTTTTGCAATTATCCTCATTACCATTAAATTCTCTTCATAACTCACTTAAAATACTCCTGGATTGTTTTCTTACAAGCAGTATTCCTCTCAAAATTATTATGTTATTCTACTCCCTTGGAATCCTAAAAAATGATAATGTAAAATAACATCTGTTAAAGATCCTGATGAATGTGGGCGTCTTTGTTGAATATCTGTATAAAAAAGAGAGAAGGATTAGCAATTTCCATTTAATTCCTTTAGTTCGAGCATTAGTACAAGACACTGAAGAGGTCTGTACATTGTAGATAAAATACGCGTTTCTGACAAGGATACGCAAACAAGGTAGTGGAATAAATAGAAATTAATAATCCTTCTCTCTTTCTTTACTATTATCAGGTTGGAAATGCTATCTAAAACGAAGCTTTAGTGTGATAATTTATTAGCTAGAGAATGGTCTTTTAGAAGAGGGTAGGTAGATAGTTCCGTTAGAGCACGGCAGTAGGAAAATTGAATAGAAGTTGAAAATGAGCGAAGAACCATTAATGCAACAGTTCAAAGTCAAACGCACACCTTTTACCTAACCCGTACGATGTACGCGGAGATTCTTCAACTTCAAATCTACAGGCAAAAAGTGTGCGCCCGCCTTTGCTCATTACTGTTTGCGGCTGTGCAATAGTTCTAGCGACGTTTCACCACTACCTAAAGCCCCACGTTTCCGAAAACATTTCCAGGAAGGCATTTTTTGCCTGTAGATTTGAATTTGAAGTATCTCAGCGTACATCGTACGGGTTAGGTAAAAGGTGTGCGTTTGACTTTGTACTGTCGCATTAATGGCCGTTCGCTCATTTTCAACTTCTATTCAATTTTCATACTGCCTTGCTCGAACGGAACTTTCTACCTACCTTGTTCTAAAAAACCATTCTCTAGGTAATCATTTATCACACGAAAGTTTCATGTTAGATAGCATTTCCAACCAACTCTGAAAATCGCAAACTTCACGCATGAAGTAACATAAAAACACTTTGCATGTTTACTATTATGTTAAAAGATGTTCTGCTACATTCTATCACGGTGTGCTTGCTACAACTGAAACTCGCTATTTACTAGGGAAACTGCTTTTATCCATGCTCGAAAAGTCATTATTTGACATTTTCCAACTAATTCATTACCTTGTTCTGTTCAATGCTAATCAGTCTCTCTCTCGCTGTCTCTTCCATCTATCCCGCAGTGTCCGTAACACAGGTCACCACCGAAGAATGTGGCCAGGAGGAATTGGTCCAGTGTACCAAACCGCTACAAGTACTCTCCGCTACCTCAGAGCTCTCGTTCGTCACAAAAAAGGAGGAACTGGATAAACTTTGCCCGTAAGTAATTTATCGTGCAGCATGTTACCCCGTGTTTCATTCCCCCCGAACGCCACCGTCAACAACATCAGCTCCGGAAAAACCTTCCCGTGTTCCTCAATGTTGAACCAGAAAAGCGGTAAAAATATATCTCATTACCATTTCATTTCAATTGTTTCCAGTCCGGCATTTAGGATTTCAACTCGAGTTCATCCCCCATCCCCCTCTCTATTTAAGTGGCGTTTATAACGTACAAGTACGCTTGTTGTTCTGCGGTGAACAAAGTTTAATTTTATTCCTCCGAAACTTACCTTTCTTAGGAGAACGGGAGGAAGGATGGAGCTCCGCAGCAACAGATGCTTCGATCCTATGTTTCTGACCCGATCTAATGACTGCAGGAAATGTGCACTACCAAATGTAGTTATCTGTGGCCATTTTCCCTGCGGTACATTTTTGCTCCATCGTCAGTTGTCGGTTCGTATCTACATCTCACCAACGATCAGAAACACTACATTGCATTTCGTCGGTGTATTTGCGGGTTTATGTGCAGGCAGGATTTTTCTCCATGGTTATGTCTAAACAAATTTTAATCGAAACCAACTGCTGCCGACATTGTTGAGTAATTAGAAATGGAAAAAGTTTTCTCATTTTGTGCCATAGATTTGTGAGAAAATCGGGCAACGGCTCTTGACTTATTTTGCTGCATTTGCAAGCAACAAAATATGATTATAAATATCAGGATTAAAGTAATAAAGGGATGACTCAATTACATAGTTCTTTAAAAAATTATTGAATCAATATTGAAATCATTCCAAGCAGCAATTACTTGAGTGTCTGAGTGTCGGCAAGTAAACATTCTTGGTGAGATATAAAGGTTTAATTCGAAGAGCAATTAACAACAAAGTAGTTTTGATTTTTCTAAAAACATAGACACGTATTAATACGTAGTCGTGAGAAACACTGATTTAAATTTGTCGAATATAAAAAGAAGGTATACAAGATCATGCTCAAACCAACATATTCTGAACCAGTTGAAATGTTTTTGTGAATTTGCCCTGAATTCAAATCACTTGGATGGTATAGTATAGAACATGGTTCTTAAGGAAATTCTTCACCCACATATGCTGTGGAAGAGGATTGTTGTGACCACGTTTTGCATGCCATACAATGAAACCACTGGAAGCAGTTCCCGTTCTGATGGAGGAGGCTTATTGGATAGCAGAAGATAATGTGTTTATTACTTTGTACCTTTTAACTATAGTTTTAAGATATATTGCATAGTAACAAGAATCCTCGGCTTTGTAAAGCTAATTCGATTGAGCTTTATACATTAAATAATTAAACAATAATAAATTTTCACTAATAAGTAAAATTTCCCTTATGGCTCATTTGGGGTCCTATCTGAGCGATCACGTCGCCGATGACGATTTGTTTTCGGAACTATTAAATTATGATAGAAGGGATTGCGCACAAATATCCTCAGCCTTCCCAAGCTCTTCGATGTATATGAATAACTGGCAAAAGCCAGCTGCACGAGTCGAAGTTAAAAGCAACCTACTGTCGAAACAACAATTTACGAAGCTCATTTTTCATCGAGTTAATCAACCCTTGCCAACGATGTATCTAATTTATACATTATTATGAGCTGGCGAAAAACTTTCCTACCCACATTCCACGCCGGGTGAGCTCTGCTGCGCTAAATGACGATCTAAATGGAGTTAATTTCATTACATAATTTTCATAAATTAAAATTAACCCTGTTTAATTAATTATTAAAATGTGATACGCTTTTCCACACACATGAACACATCTCACCAGTCATCTGTTCTATGCATAGCTGGCTTGTTGTGATACTGTTGCTTCCAGAATCAACAAGGCCACCCTCGGCAGACAGGTTTGAACTCCCAGCTCGTTCATTGGATGAAAAATTGCGCTGATATTTTTTTGTTCCCCGAGACTGCTCTCACTGCAGCACTAGAAACAATAGAGAAAGCATCCTATATTCGTTTGATGCCCGAAATAATGGCGTTTCCGAAATTCCCATCGCCCAAAAGTAGACAACGCAGTGAGTGTAGGTGCAGAGAGAGTGTAGGGGATTTTCCCATGTGGAGAGAATCAAGCTTACCGCAAAATTTGCACGACCGAGTGAAAGCTGCCTGCTCGTCATAAATTTTAATTATGTATCATATGTGTCTCACATTCGTAATTTGTTTGTTTCACTTTGCCTTTTGTGTGTGTGCTTCATTTATTCCTCGGCAGAAACACCACGCTACTGACACTGAGAGCAAATGGGGTTGAAAGCCATATTCCAGTTCCTCTTCACCTGCCGTCGTCGACATTATCCTCGTTCACTTGTTCCCTTCAAACCAGCCCAAGCGCATTTTTCACGTCCAATCGGTCATCCGGATAATGACTGAAATTTTAACCTCTCGCTGCTGGCTAGTATACCGCATCCGGCAGCATCCGATGAGAGAAACAATCTTTTATTTGGGTGTGTTTGTGATTATGGGTTTAATGTAACAAGAATGTCTGCATTATCAGAAGGTGCAAAGTGAGCCTTTACAAACAACAACAACGCTGTAGTTGGTTGACCCTGTCGTTATCCGCTTGCAGCACGTCCGCATCCTGGTTGGAGCGAGAGACGAAGAGTGGGTGGTTGATGCAAGGTAGTTAAAAAAGGGGTATAAAGTTTCATTTGGACGTTAAGGATGTATCGTAATGATCTTTTAATGGCAGATAAGAGTGTCCTTGGAAATGCTGTTTTTTTTTTTAAATCCTACATTATAAGAAGTCTTTAGATTGATTTAATATTTTACTCGATTTTTTTGGTAATATTCAGCGAATACAATTTCGATTGTGCCTGAGAGTATCAGCTGCATATATGATATATCTAAGTAATTGATTTTAATTTATCAATCACTGAAATATAATAGCATTTTACTTAAGTATTCTAACTTACTTACTTAAGGGTCCTGTGCACCGCCAGCGGTGCAAAGGGCCAACGTGAAAGACTTCCATCCTGGGCGGCTGCTCGCTTTTGCATTGACCTGGGCCCAGGTCAGATTCCTATCGACTTGCTTAATTTCCTTATTGAGGCTCCGCCGCCATGAGCCCCTGGGTCTGCCTCTGCTGCGATGTCCTGCCAGATTCCAATCCAGCGCTTGCTTGCAGATTTCGTTTCCGTCCCGTCGAAGTGTGTGGCTGACCCACCTCCACTTTCGCTCTCGAATTTCTGTTGCTATCGGCTTCTGATGACATCGACGATGGAGCTCGGCATTCGAGATCCAGTTGTGAGGCCACAGGCACGAATTATATACCGCAGGCATCGGTTGATGAAGACCTGCAGCTTTTGAGTGTTCTCCGCTGATACACACCACGTCTCGCTGGCGTATAACAACACAGATTTCACGTTCGAGTTGAAAATTCGGATTTTGGTGCGTTGACTTATCTGATTGGATCTCCATACGTTTCGTAAACTCGCAAAGGCAGCACTAGCCTTCTTGATTCATGCACCTATGTCGCTCTTGGTCCCGCCGTTCGACGCTATTTGGCTGCCAAGATATTGGAAACATTCGACCTTCTCCACTGCTTGCCCCGCTACCGTAAAGTTGGAAGGGTTGCCCGTATTGATATCCAACGATTTGGTCTTGTTGACGTTGATGGTGAGACCCGCCACAGAGGAGCGTTCGGCTAGGTCATTGAGCTTACTCTGCATATCAGAGCGCCGTTGTGCTAGTAGAGCAACATCATCAGCCAAATCGAAGTCGTTGAGATGCTCCATGGTGATAGGCTGCCAAAGCAGCTCACGGTTCGGTACACGGTCAACGGCTCCAACCGTGATCTCGTCGATTACGATGAGAAACAGTAGCGGTGATAGTATACATCCTTGTCTCACACCAGCGACTACCCGGATAGGGTCGGACAAGGCTCCGTTATGCAGAACTCTGCACGTGAAAGCCTCATACTGCGCTTCGATGAGGTTGACGATTTTATCCGGGACTCCCTTGCGTCTCAGGGCGCCCCACAGATTCTCGTGATTGAGACGGTCGAAAGCTTTTTCGTAGTCAATGAATACCAAATAAAGGGACTCTTGGAATTCATTGACCTGCTCCAGGATGATGCGGAGCGTGACAATATGGTCCACACAAGATCTTCCGGCACGGAATCCTGCCTGCTGCCGTCGGAGAGTCGCGTCGATCTTCTCCTGTATCCGATTCAGGATAACTGCACAGATCTTTGAGAATAATACACAGTAACATGATGCCTCGCCAATTGTCGCACACAGTCAGATCCCCCTTCTGTGGGACCTGCACTAAGATGCCCTGCATCCAGTCGGCCGGAAAAGTCGCGGTGTCCCAGATATTACAGAATAGCTGATGCAACATTTGTGCGGATAGCATGGGGTCAGCTTTGAGCATCTCTGCTGATATGCGTTCGACCCCTGGAGCCTTGTTGGATTTCATGCTTCGGATAGCTGCTTCAATCTCTTGCAGTGATGGGGCCTCGGAATTGACGCGAGTGATGCGCCGCACCCTAGGCGGATCATGCCGAGATGTTGATGGCTGGTTGGCCGTTGAAACTTGAAGAAGTTGTTCGAAGTGCTCAAACCAGCGTTTCAGCTGGTCAGTGGGGTCGGTAAGCAATTGTCCAGTCGTGTCCTTCACTGGCATCCTCGGGTTCATCCTTGCTCCACTCAGGCGTCGTGAGATATCGTAGAGGAGGCGTATATCGCCAGTGTTTGCGGCTTTCTCCCTTTCGTCGGCCAGGGAGTTCACCCACGCTCGCTGCAAGAGCGCTTGATTTCCTTCTCTAGAGCCGAGTACCGTTGACGGGCTTCGTTCTTGACTCCTCTGGTTCTCGCCCGCTCTATCGTGGCTTTTGCTTCTCTACGCTCCTCAATCTTCCGCCAGGTTTCATCCGTCCATTGTTCTTCTACGCTGCCACCTTCTGGAACGTCCGCAGCTCGAGTCTCAAGTTCTTCAACAAAAGACCTTTTTACCGCTGGATCTTCAAGTCGGCGTGTGTTGAACCGCCGCCCGAGTCTCTCCTCCCGTCGCTGGATCCGCGCCATGCGTAGGCGGATTTCACCGACTAGAAGGTGATGGTCAGACGCGATGATGCGTTTATTCCGGACATCAAGAAGGCTCCGTCTCCATTTTCGGCTGATGCAGATGTGGTCGATCTGATTTTCGGTATGTCCATCACGGGAAACCCACGTGACTTTGTGCACTGGCGAATGGGGGAAGAGCGAGCCACGATCACCATGTCGTTATTGCCACAAAATTCTGCATACAGCTCACCGTTCTCGCTCTTTTCGCTGATACCACGGCGTCCCATGACACGCTCATAGTCCGTGCTGTCGGAGCCGATCTTCGCATTGAAGTCGCCAGTGTAGATCTTGATATCACCTTTTGGAAACTTATCCATCACGGCATTCAGTTGACTGTAAAAATTCTCCTTGTCCTGTAGCTCGGCAGCATCGATTGGATTATGGTAAGGTTACGAACCCGTGTTCTAAATCTGGCAACGATTATCCTCTCATTAACAGGCTCCCACTTGATGAGCGCAGCACTTCCTGGACGCTAAGTAGGAGACCAACTCCACCATGGCGGGGAGCGTTTTCACCTCGAATACCAGAGTATAGTAGTACCTGTCCCGACGGCAGTTTGTGTTCTCCAAAGCTTCATGCGACGCGCCTCGTTGGCGAGTTGTGCCAGTTTACCCTGCTGGGCTAACGTCAATACATTCCATGATCCAATTCGTGTCCGTTGTTTTGCGCTAAAAGTCGTTGCCGTTATATCAGTTCGATGTCTTTCTCTATTGGTTTCTGTAACAATTGTAAAGGTTTCAGAGACAGTAGGTGGTTGGCCTAAGGTCTCCTATCCGCCGTGATGGGGCTGCCATCTTAGGTGTAGCTTCCGGGGAAGAGCATTTCTTATTCAGCCGCTGGATGCCAGTCAGACGCTGTTTGAGCCGCACCTCCATGGTGAACAGACGCTCGGGTTGGCGAAGCATTTCCTCTATCACCGTGCTATGGTTACCGCGCCAGTGTTCGCGTCGCACCTCCTCACTCTGCTATTATCGGATTGACAACATTGCCCAGGCTACGCCAACCAGCTGTGTCCATGTTTCAGCTGGCAGTCTTTTGTGATCATATGACTCGTGGAGGCGTGAGGTAGGAACTTGTGAGGACCGGAGCTTGGTATATCGTTCCTTCCAGATTGTCACTCACCATTTTGTAGCCCAAGTATAGTATTCTAACTATTCGTTAAATATATTTATATGCTCAATTGCAATTTCATCAGTTATTAACATGTCGTTGAATAAGCTAGGTTCGAAAATTGAAAATTCTCTAGAAGCGATAGAAATCTCATTAGTAGTGACATTCCTTTATATCGAGGGAGTCTGTGATAATATTTCCTATAGTTTCATAAAAATGGTGCAATGGAGAGACATGGTTTCGATAGAAGTATTTCAAAATGGATACATGCAATGCTAAGCAAACGAGAAATTACCGTCACATAAGAAGACACATCGATAACAATGAGAGCTACGAGAGGATGACCACATGGCGGTGCTCTCTCTCTCTTTCCACTGATGTGGTCAATTGTTGCTAACTATCTTTTAGAAAAACTTTAGAAATTTCAAATAACTATCATATGACCATGTGTGATTTGGTTCTAATTCCTCTATTTTGTGTAAATTAAAGCACTTCTGATCAGAAACGTTATTTCTAAGACATCGTTGTTTGCTCTTATCAGAATTCACACAAGCACAACATTAGCAGCTCTTATTATGAGAAGAACTAAAATACATAAACAAGTGACGGTCTTCTAAGGCAGTGTCGTATGACAGAGAGTGTCATTTGACATTTTTGTTTGGTACTGCATTTTGATAGCTTGCTTTGCAAGTGTCAGAAGAAAAGGCAGCCGATTTTCACAGAAAACACGTCGACTACGGTGACCGCGTATAGCACTGGTCAGTACCGTGAAACGGAGTCAAATTGATCAGCGGGGTAAATTAGATCACTGGGGTTTCTCTTTGTTTTTGTTCAGATATAATACTTTTTATGTCAAATAATTGAAGAAAAATAATGAGATATAATACACTTCATCTATTAAATAGCCCTTATTTTACAGTAGGGTAGATGTACCAGACATGTCTATACGTTTCTATTATGGTGTGTTCCGATTCCTCCCCGTGTTATTTTTTAGTTAAAGGAGCGGAGCGACGGGTTTCTTTTAGATGGTTACTTTAGAATCTTCTTAAAAAGCTTGTTATATAATCTTCTTTAGAAGCTTGTTTTAGAATCTTCTTTAGAAGCTTATTTTAGAATCTTCTTTAGAAGTTTCTTTTGGAAGCTTTTTTATAGAATATTATTTTCGAAGCTAGGCACTTGCTCGTCGCTCCACTCCTCCAACTAAAAAACACGGACAGGACAATTAATTTTAGTAGCTACTTAGTAAAGTAGCGTTTTTAAAAGGTTTAAGGAGCATTTAATCGTTTGAATGGTACGAAACCTATTTTCTCCACAAATGTGCTTGGCTAGGAAAAATCGGCATGCCAGCATTTTTCCATCACCCAGGCATCTCTCAAAGTATTAAAAACATACAAGTGCCCGTCTCACATGTATTGGAATGCATTCTTTCAGCAGTAGCCGGCTGATTGGAATCAGATGAAAATTATATACTAAGTTCCCGAATCTTGTGGTATGGAAGACAATTAATAGGCCGATTCCTTAGCAAGGGTCAGCATTCAACTTTGTCGGTCCATATCGATTTTGTGGGATTCCCAATTCCACTATCAGCATGGAATTCACGAAATTGGAAGCGTCAAATCTATCCTGGAAAATCTTGTTTGAGTCGACATTCACATTGTGTTAATATTGCATACAAATTTCTAAGCATACACAAAAAAATAAGCACGATACCAGGTTTACCGACGGAAAGTTGTCCAAGCAGATGCCATTTGAAGCACCAGACATCTGTCGTTTCTGTAAATTAGAAGGCGAAACCTCGGAACACCGACTCTGCGAATTAAGTGCGCTATTTTGATGCAGACTTGGCTGGGCTATCTTTGGTTTGGTTTGCAAATCTCCAGAAGGATTTAAACTTCATCAATGAAAATATTCCAAGCTGGGGCGAAAATCACAGTCATCATTGAAATCAATATTGCTGAGTCGGTTCATAAAAGTAAACGTAAGAGTATGCCACAATAGTTCAAACTGGTCACTGTGGTTCAGTACTCCAACAAACAAGGTAACATGTCGTTTGCTTTAAGACGCAATTTCTTGATTTATATCTGCACTGAAATTTACCCCCAACAGTACCTTTCTATATAATACGTAGCTAACATATTGCGGAAGAGTCCCGAGGATTGAAAGTACTAGTCGTATTCAAATATCGGATAACAGTCCGATCAGCCCTGTCCCATTGAGCACAAATAAAAGTCTAGTATCACAACCTAAGCCAAAACAGCATTTTCTATTTCACACTTCGACCGATGATGTGGTCCCATTGTCACATACCTCTAGGAACGATAGAAACAGTCATTTTCACTCACATTCATACGGTGTGGAATACATATCAACATCCTTGGACATCTGCCAGCATTTCTAATGCTCTCTACGATGACCAGCCAGTCATCAGCTCAGCTGGTACAAGTCACACCGTTCACATTTGTACACAATCCGTTGAAATATAAATGAGCGAACAAACTGTTGTGCATGCGTTCGCAACAAAACGAGTGTAAGTGAAACTGTGCTGTCCCCGTTCTACCTTCCATTCTCCACCACCCGTACCATTCAGGAGCTGGAATCAATTCGGGACGGTTCCGGACGGACATCAAAACTTTGAATTTAATCCACTAGCCGTAGTCAAGGAAAAGCTTCTCCTGGCTAAGACGGCCCCATCCGATGATGGCTAAAACAAACAAGACAGATGGGAATCGTTACACATGTAAGCAATATGTATGACTTTTCCTCTGACCCGGAAAGGTTATGTCTGTTGTGCTGATCCCCACTATAACTACGGCGGTGGGAAAGGATCAAACGGAAAGGAACACATGCCAGACACTTCTCAACTTCTTATCTTTGATTCTCGGCATAAGTGTACACCTACGAGTAGGACAAGTCCAAGTTAATCTCACACCTTCTATTTTGCCTTCCCGGTGAACCCTTAGTAACACTCACTGTTTCAGAGCTGAGAGCTCTTCGTTCTACTGTGAATTTTGCGTTCGTCAGAAAGGTCTCGATTTGCATTTGTATAGGCATTTAATCCCCGGATTCAGGTTGCTGGTGCCTACATTCTCCGATTTAACAACATTCGTACCACTCATCATCTGTACCTACTCGAATTACCCGTGCTAAAATCGATGAGACAATCAAATTTTAACGATCGGCCTTTTAAATGTTTGTTTCTCTCCCTCTATTGCAGTGACCTTCACAAGGGTCTACATTGTATAAGAAGCTACACGCGACGCTGTATGAACATCCAGCAGAGGGAGCATTTCAACAAGCTGTACCACGGCACTAACGAGGTCATACACGAGCTCTGCGAGGAAGGACCTTATCAGGAAGGCACGTACGTATTGTACTAATTATATCCATGTTTCATGCCGTATCCATTTGCTTCTGCTTTATAGCGAATTGTCATTGTGTTACGTTTTGGTTACAAAGTGCAATTATGCTACGATACGTTTGCTTTGCTAGACCATTTGGTCACTTATTGGTTTTCATTAGCTTCCCTATTAAATACTGTTGCACACCGCGCCAGAATAACAATCAATAATAATAAAGATATCAGTCAAACACATCCATCGCCTTGGCATTCATTCGATTGATATCAAATCATCCATCAACAGAGATAGATAAATGCAAACAACTCATAACTCTGTATGTGTGTACATCCAAAGCAAAATTAATGTTTAGCGTGCATTAGGTGGTGTTTATAAATATGTGAATACATGCAGAATTCACTAGAATTAAAAAAATAATAGAATTGATAGAAAAATAAAAAAAAATAATAGAATTGATAGAACATTCAATTCCATTCTTACGCCATTTTCATTTCTCGATTTTACCCTCAAGCATGGTCCATAAAATTACAATAAAATAATCATAAAATACAATACATTCTATTTATTTTTTATTGTTGCATTCTCAGTCACAATGTTTATTGTTTTTGACCATACAATTTATGGTTTAATTGTTACAATAGGTTCTATTGTTTACGTTTGGTTAATTTTTATTCGGGTACAGCATTTTTAATACCAACATATTTTCCTTTGATTTTTCTAGTGATGTTTTTAAACTAGTAGCATTGAATTTGGTTACAATTTGAGATTACACGATCAAATAAAGGGGAATAAATTGCGTAAAGACTTTATTAAGGTTCAATTTTCATTGATGCATTTTTTTAAAAATTCAACAGCAGTTTTTTTCGACGCATTATTTTAGATTGCAAAAAGTTCGCGTCATTTTGTGTAAAATATCAAAAGGAATCGAATAGTGCGAGCTTTTTGCAATCTGAAATAATGCGTCGAAAAAAATGCTTTTGAAATTTTCCAAAAAGCATCAAAGTAAATTGAACCTTGTGTAGTCCACGCAATCATACCACGCATTGTTTTTGTTTACATCTACTATGAAGTTGTTTTGGAATGTGCTTTACAAACTTTATTTGTGCTCTCATATGTACATCACATGTAACGTAAAACGGGGTATCTTTGATAATACGGGTAACTTTGATAGTATAATATATATATTAATTTTACTCGTTGCGCTTTTTCCAAATTAGAAACATTGGTTCCATATTGTAGCTCAGGGTATTTTCGTTGATATCGTATATAATTTTTATTTAGTATGTGTTACATATTTTACAAACATATTGAAAAGCAATTTTCGTGTTTTTCGCCTGTTTGAAAAGCACTCAAACCATCACTTATGAAATGTATTTCCGATAGAGCCATCACAAATTCAATTTTGTATTCTTATTGCTTATGATGTTTTCTGATTATATACTCATTCAAAGTTTCGTATTTAAAGATCTAAATTGTATAAGTTTCACACATTTTCTTCTGAGCATTATCAAAGTAACCCCAAATCAAAAAACTGAAGTTCGGTCACAAAACTAAAAAAAAATAGTGCAATTGTTTAAATTTACATTAGACATATTACTGACGAATACTCTTGGATATTCAGTACTTGTTTTAAAAATATAAAATTTGGAAAACATTCATTGTTGTAAAAAATATTTAGAATATACTTTTAAAAACAATCAATGTTACCCCGTTCTACGGTACCTAATTTTGTTTGCGTGCTCTTTCTGATCACCCGCTGTAGCGAAAAAATGATGCAGGAATCTTCTCAGTTCTTCTTTTTGCTGAAGGAAGTGTTACTGCTACCTAAAGCTACAACAAATTTAAACAGCACTTTTCAGTGCTTTACCTGTAAAATTTCTACCTTTTTTGACTCTTATTCCTCTTCAATCCTTGTTTGGACCCCCCGAGATAATCCTGCTTGGATATCGATTTGAAAAAGTTCGCTTCGATCCTTCGGGTTCCTAAAGTAATCTGCTTGGAAGTCGATTTGGTTCTGTCGCCTTGACGCCTAAGTACAAAAGAAAAGGGCAATCGCTTGATCCCCCTTCTGATGAAATTCAATTGAGCAATCCATTTGATATGATTACGGATGATGAGAATGATCCATCATCCAGGCAAAATTCTATTAGACATTCCCTCTCTCCAAATAGGGGAAAAGTTTTCCCCTATTGTTGTAACCACTCCCGATTTCCACGCAAGGAACTTTTAAAGTTCGTTCAGTTTAAGTTTTCACTTCAAATTGGCCATCGGGGTGAATGCCGTGTATGGGCTGAAATCTTGGACGGATTCAAGCGTACCCTCAAGTACCTTACTGAGAAGTAACACACATTTTTTACTTTGGACACCAAAACTGAATGTCTGTTCACGGTTGTCTTGAAAGGTCTGCCCAGTGGTGAATCCCTGGATCAGATCAAAGATGAATTAACTAAATTCCTTGGAGTTGAGCCTGTCCAAGTAATCAAAATGAAAATGAAATCCTGTTCTTACGATTCACGCAACGGGATTTCCAATGATTTTTATTTAAGGCATCTACTCGAAAAAAAATGCACCAGACAAAAGTGTACGCCAAAAATTTATTTTAAGTCGGATTTTCTTGAAACTTTCAGGGAATGAACTAATACATATGGATTTTGTTTCGGCATAATTACTTTATTCAATTTCCTTTCCTTCGCTGAAATCCCGTACCTTTCCCTTAAGACCCCTCATTACATTTTGTGCAATGGTGGAGCCGACTTTTTTTTGTCACTTTCATCCATTCTTTCTTCAACTCCAGCTCGTTCTTAAACACCTTGGACGATTTTCGAACTTTGACCTTCATTATGGCCCAAAATCTTTCCACCGGACGAATCTCTGGTAAATTTGGGGGGTTGGCGGTTTTTTGGTAAAAAAACAACGTAATTGTCACTGTACCAATCCAACGTCGATCTCGCGTAATGGCATGATGCCAGGTCCGGCCAAAATAATGTCTTGCCTCCGTGGGACCGCAGGAAGGGCAACATACGCTTCTGGAGGCACTCGGTGCGGTTAATTTCGCTGTTGATGGTACCCATTGTGATGTACGGTTTACTCAGTTTACCGCATTGGCATATGGCCTGCCAAAGCAAGTATTTTAGGACTCCAGCCCCGGTATCTGCTTTGCGTCTGCCTTGATGTAGGTTTCGTCATCCATAACCACACACATCGGTTTCGTTAACCACTCTCGATACAGCTTCCTTGCGCGGGATTTGGCCGCCGTGTTTTGTTGATATCCCAAGAAATAATTTCTAATCCCAACAGCTCTACTTTCAATTACCATAGAGCTGATTGGGAGCAATATCTAACATTTATGGAATAAAACTTCGATCCAAACATTCCTTTGCAAACCAAAGATGAAATTAATTATGCTCTTGAATCTCTGACTACTTCTATAGTTGAAGCAAGAGCTGCCTCAGTACCAAAATTCGAGGCTAAATTCGATTCAATTCTAATAGACGACGATCTTCAGCTCTTGATCCGTCTGAAAAATGTCCGCTGGAGGCAATATCAAAGAACACGCGATCCTGCCATGGAAGTTATCTGGCGTGATTTTCATACACAAATTTAAAAGGCGATTCTCTGCCCTGAGGAACAAAACTTTCAGAAATAAGGTTTCAAAATTAGACCCATGTTCCAAACCCTTTAGGAAACTCACAATTTTTTTGAAAACAAAACCTCAAAAGCCTATTTCAGTGCTTGAAGAAAGTGGTAAAATTTTGATTACAAATTCGGAAAAACCTCAGAAACTTTCTAAGCAATTCGAGAGTTCGAGTTTGGGTCTTACTACTCCTATTGATAATCAGGTTATCTGAATATTTTCTCTCGGGAAAATATTTTAGGAACTGATTTTGACGAAGTAAGATCTATAACTAAAAAGTTTCATAGTATGAAAGCTCCAGGTGATGATGAAATTTTATATATCCCCATTAAAAAAAACTCCAAGAGAGTACCTCGTCGTTCTTGGTGAAAATATTTAACACATGTTTTCATTTGGCATACTTTCCTGAAGCCGGATAAAAATCCAGCTGAAGCTTCTAGCTACCGTTCGTGTTTTCTTCAATAAGTATTTTTTTGAAAAAAAAAATATTTTCAATAGAATGATGCTTCACATCAATACGAACTCGATTTTTGCAAATGAGCAGTTTGGATTTCGCCATGGGCATTCAACTACTCATCAACTCTTAAGAGTTACCAAATTAATTCATTCAAACAAATCTGAAGGCTGCTCAACTGGAATTGCTCTTTTAGACATAGAAAAAGCATTCGACAGTGTTTGGCATGAAGGTTTGATTGCTAAATTGAAAAAGTTTAACTTTCCACTGTATATTATGAAATTAGCTCAAAATTATTTAACTGAAAGAGCTCTGCAGGTAAATTATCAGAATTCCAAATCTGATCAACTACCTGTAAGAGCTGGAGTTCCTCAGGGTAGCATTCTTGGGCCTATATCGTATAACATTGTCACTTCGGACCTTACTGATTTGCCTCAGGGTTGCAACAAATCTTTGATCGCTGGTGGCACAGGCATTTCCGCTAAAGGAAGAAGTCTTCGTGTTATTTGCAGTAGACTGCAGAAAAGTTCAGATATTTTCTCTTCTTTTTTACAAAAACGGAAGATTTCTCCCAACGCTTCCAAAACTCAACTTATAATATTTCCACATAAGCCTAGAGCTTCTTTTTTGAAACCTAGTAGTAGTCACATAGTCACTATGAACGGAGTTCCAATTTCCTGGTGACCAAGTGAAATATCTTAGATTAGTACTTGACCAAAAATTAACTTTTAAAGATCACATTGAGGGCATTCAAGCCAAATGTAACAAATATATAAAAAAAAATATCCTCTTATAAACAGGAAGTCTAAACTTTGCCTGAAGAATAAACTTCTAATTTTTAAACATGTTTTTATACCGACCATGCTTTATGCTGTGCCAATATGGTCTAGTTCAGTGGTTCTCAAACTTACGT